GAGAGAGAGAGAGAGAGAGAGAGAGAGAGAGAGAGAGAGAGAGAGAGAGAGAGAGAGAGAGAGAGAGAGAGAGAGAGAGAACACAACGCACACTCGTCAAGACTGTGTCTGACCGAAAGAGAGCTTGTGTACATTTGAAAACACAATGCGCTCTCATCAGGAATTTGCACAATGGCACATGTTGGGGAACGCAACTCACCGTCGTCGGGACTGTATCAGACCTGCAAGGTCGCTAGTATACATTTTGAGAGAGAGAAGGTGGGGGGGGGGAGCAGCCGGGATGGAAAGACCACTTCCCGAACTGCAGAGTTTCCTTTTTGCTTTGTGAAAAAGTTGAGAAAAGAAAAAAAAAGACTGTCCAAGGATCCATATTGAGAACACACCTGCGCAACCTGATCACGACTTCATGAAAAGCTCTGGACAGTATCGGACCTGAAAAAGAGGTTGTATACGTTTGACAACACGATGATGCATCATGACTGTATCACACCTGAAAAGTTCGCTTGTATACATTCGAAACACAACGCACCCCTCAGAAACTTCACGCCCCGCTGTCGAGAACAACAAACCCCCATCAATGACGTAACGGACCCGAAAGATAAATTTGGGAATTCGTACCTTGGCCCCTTTCGTTTTCTTTTTTTTTTTCCCGCCAATTGCTTCTGAATTCCAACCTTGGTTTGCATTTCAACAAGTCATGGGTGTACCGAGTTACGGCCATTGGGCTACATTTGGGAAATACAATGTATCATCCTCAACTTCATGAAAAGGTCGACAACAAAACCCTCCCTCATCGTGACTGTACCAAGCTCGAAAATTAGCTTGGATACATCGTACAACACGATGTGCATAATGACTGTACCGAACTTGAAAATTAGAGGGTGTTTCTGGGCTATAAGCAGGGTTTGAAAGGGCTCCAAGGGGCTTAAAAGGGGTATGATTACTATGATATAATTTTATTAATTTAGTATTTTATTTTTATTTTTCACGTCGGATTCCATGGCGAATTTCGTGGGCACTTTCAGGCAAAAGCTGTTTGGTTTGAAGTTGAATTTTGATCGAAGGCGGTCGGGTGGCGGGAGATCGAGTTGTGGTATGGCCCGGAGTGTGTTCGAGACAAAGGGCCAGAGCTTGCCGTTGGGCGTAGCGGGATCGTCGCGGGGCGATTGGCGGCACGAGGCGGCACATGGAGGCGTCCCGGCCAATTCCTGGCTATGGCTGACCCCGACCAATTCCTGGCTGGTCATGAAGGGCGAGTAGGACTTTGGTGGCGGCGATTGGCGGGCAGGGTCTGAGTGCCTTTCATATCAGATATGGAGGCTGATCGGGAGGGCGCAGCCCCCTCGTCTATATATATGGAACTACACATGCTGTGCAATTGCGGATTTTCTATTCGGGAGCTTTCTTCGTTCCGCTGCCAAAGTGTTGCTGAGTGGTTCACCTTGTCTCGTGGCTCAGATCTCGGTGCTGTATAATTGCTCGACGATGGAGTCCATCGGTTGTGGGCCTGCTGGAGCCGTTGACAACGTCACTGGTGGAATTTGTGTCCCTGTTGGGGGCCATCGGGATTGGGGCGTGGAGGGAGCTGACTTATGCTTGGCTTCCCCGGCTCTGTCGACTGCGCTGGCTGAGTGTTAGAAGCTGCACGTGGTCTACTGTTCGGCGTGGACAATTGCGGGCACGGCTTCCTTTGAAGGTCGTCGTGGGAGTGTACTTGGTCAACAATGTTGTTCATACCGTTCACAGGCAGGGCTTCCACGTGTTCGTTGTTCGCAGGGCTTTCGGATCTATCACTTGTGGGTGGAGCTGACGTCCTCGTCTGGGCAGTCGGTCGGCGTCGGGGCTGCCTTTCGGTTGGCTGCCTCGGCTGGCCGAGAGCTGAAAGATGTATGCGGTCTTTTGTTCAGAGCGAACGATTGATGGTATTGAACACGACTCCAAGGCAAAAGTTGCTTGTATTGTTGTTTTACATGATATTTGTTTTTTAAACTTTTTTTCAAATTGTTCTTTTTTCTTTCTATATTTTTGTTTTTAACTGATCAGAACGAATACTACACTTGATCTTAGCCAGAAGGCCGAGAAAGGTATATGATCGTTTTCATCGGGGTTTTGGGCGCTCGTTCGCGTTCGGCCGAACATGTTCGTGTTCGCCTCCGAACGCGAACACGATGCTACGCAGATAAACACTAGTTTGTGAATCTCAAACACATCTACAACCCTATATATATCGTCAAACAGAGCTGCCCGGTAAACTGTAGGCAGAGAGGGAGGGAGAAGAGGACAACAAACGAGGGGCTGTGACAAACAGTTTCGTCGGAGTTTCACCGACTCATATATATATTTCTTATTTTTTGGCTGCAAAAAAAATCTTCGCGAGTGGCGGTGAACCGCGACAAGCTGACAGTTCAACGCCGTTTTACGGCATTTTCAACGCGGGACCCGCGCTAAATCCATTTCCAGACACTCACGGCTTGGAATCACAGTTTCTTGTTTTCGGTGGAACGACTTAGTGTTCCGATTTTCTTAACGATCCGTCTGTTTGCTAGCCCAGCTGATTGCGATTGTGGTTGATTGATTTCTCCTTGGCGGAATGTTGTTCTTCGGCTAGGATTTCTTGATGCTTATGCTTTGTCTCCGCTTATATTAGCCTACTTGCCATTTAGGTGAGTTTAAACTTTAAAACAGCTTGTTGCGATCGTCCAGGGGTTTTCTAGTTGTATGTGATCTGCTCTTGGTTTTGTTGCTGTTGGAACCTCAAATCTCTATGTAGTCCTAGTTTTCTTGACAGATAGAGATCGTGGTTGTTGGTGGTTTTGCCTTCGGCCTTTTTTTTTGGGATTTCTTTAGTTGTTACAGTTTAGCAACTGTTGAGACGGATGAGTGAGCGTCTCTCTGCAGAAACGACCCCACCATGGTGGGTGCTGGAGTTTCTTAGGGAGTTGACGTAGATTGGTGGTGCAGTCTGCTCTTAATCGTGAAGAGGCGGGAGTGATTGCAGTGTGCGGGTGGTAGGGTATTTCTGCTGGCTCGAGAAGACGATGTGAAAGTAGTACATGCTGTTTTGACATTTGTAGTGGTTTTGGCTTTTGCTATCGTCCGACTCCTTTCATATGGATTGGAGAGCATAGCTCCGCCCGGGCATCGTCATGGACGGCAGCGGAGCTCCGTTAGGGTGCATGCGGATTGGGGCTGTGGTCTACCGCTAAATCATGAGGATGAGGGAGGGCCCCTGCCGCGCAGGAGGTAGGGTATATCCGCCGGCTTGCAAAAACGCCCACGTGGTGCGAGTTCACGTTCTTGGTTAATGAAGAGTATGGGTCGAGGTGCAATCCGTCCGGAATCACAAGGAGGTGGGTGGGTTCTGCCGGGTCGGTGTCTGCACTTGGGGCCCTGGGGACACAGGCCCCTGCCGCGTGGGTGGCAGGGTCGTTTTGCAGGGTGTGGCAATAGCTTTTGATGGTGGCCTTCTTCTTCTTTTGTTTTTGTACTGTGCCCGGACTGGGCTTCATATGTTTTTGCCTCTGTGATAAGGGCCACCGGAGTGCCCAGATCATACTGCAAAGGTTGCCTTTTGGGGGAAAAAAAGACGTTTGGTAACTTTGGGTCACAATTCTGCATGACATCGACTTTTTCAGTTTTTTTTTTTTTTTTTGCGCTGGGACTGCCCGGGACTAGGCAGGACTTTGCCCGTACCTGACCCCGCAGGGCCACCGAGGCCAATCTGAGGCAACCGGGACCACCCGGCTGGTGACACAGCTGAGTGCAAGGGCATTAGCGCACCGCCCAGCACACTCCACTTGTGTGCGCACGTACTGTAGATTCCTGCGCTGCACCACAGCACATTGCAATAGTGTGCCACAGGTCCTACTCCAATTTCCAAGAAGTGAGTTTTAGGTCCGACTGCAAATTCTGCACCCACAGCATACATCTAAAAATCCAACAAGCAGCAAACATATTAAACCATAAACCATAAACCATAAACAATAAACAATAAAGTTGAATAAACAAAACAGTTGAAAAAACAATAAACACCGTCTTTGTGGGAGAGAACAGACGTGAACTGCAAAGCCAGTACGGGCGAGCAACAAGCACAACTGCGTTTCGAGATGATCTCTTGGTGTGACCAAGCAAACAGACCAAACTCTTTTTGACAGTTGTTCAATTGCTCGAAAACTTTCAGCTTCCTCCTTTTGTTTCTTTTTTTTTTTATTTTTATATAGCTACACTATATTCTTCTCTCAAACCTTTCATCGCCTTTCAAATTCTTTCAATACCACTACTCCGAAGGCTTCTACAGGGTACCCCTACGAACATAGCTTTGTTGTCTCCCTCCTGCCATCAGAGGGGATGCATATTGCCCCCCCACCCCAACCACGGTGGTAAAGGATGGGGTGGGGCCGCCTGTGGGGGACCGGCTAACGCAAAGACCGAGCACTTTGACTGTAGCTACGCCTCCCTTTTCGTCGTCCCCCACCTCAAACAGAATTGCAGCAGTGTCTACGGCCAACACTCTCCCACACACCACACACAATCCACACACCCTCGCACTCCCACCCGTGTTGGCCAAGGACCCTGCCAATACCGATCAGAGGTATAAAGCACAACCTCCTGAATGCCACTTGCGTGCCTAACCAACTGAGCTACGCCGCAAGACTTTCAAATTTCAAGCGCAGAGGTCCACAATGTGCGGAAATTTTCTTCAACTTTCAACTTCCCGAAAAAGAAACTTTTTGTTTCCTCTTTTGCTCAGCCGGGCAAGTGAGCGGTGATTGGAGGAGGAGGGGGGGGGGGAAGGGGGAAGGGAGGGAGCACAGTGAAATTCGATAAGCTCATTCGACATCTCCAAAATTTTGTGCGCTGCAATAAAATTTTGAGAGCCCATACAATGAATCTTCACAAATATTGCATAGGTGTAACACATCATCATACCGACTCTATAGATCATCAAAAGGGGCACCCCTCTCATTAAAGCGACCAGCAGAGAAAACAGGGATCAACACTTCATTTCCCGCAGTGAATTTAATGTTCCACTGCCTCGCTGACTCCGTCGGAGACCTTTCCCAACGCATCTACCACACTTTCCGTATGCATTGAATTCGGTCCGTTTGTTGTATTCACGTCTTCCGACTGGCAACACTGTTCGCTGGTCCAATCCATTGGCTCGGGATGTTTCGCCATACCAGATTGCTGACGACGTGCACACAGCCACTCGCGTGGAGAAGGATGCGCCTCGGGATTTGAATCATCTTCCTCAGATCCGTCCAATTCTGTAATCTCCTCCGGAGTTGTTATTGGAAGGTGCCAGCCACCATGCAAGGTTTCCTGCATGCCATACCCATTCGTAACAAAACACGTGAGAAAAAATAAAAAAATAAAAAACCCTTAAAAAGATGCACCTTTTTCTTTTTCTGAAAGATTTTCTTCTTTCTTTGTTCTTTTTTTGATTTTTCTTTTTTTTTGGTGTACATCTTTTTTAGAAGTTTTTTTTTTCTTTTTCCCCCCCTTCCCCCCATGCCCATCCGTAACAAAATGCGTGAAAAAAAGTTAAAAAAAAAAACTTAAGAAGATGCACCTTTTT